CATATGTAAATGACCTTGGAACGCTGGCCGGGACTGTACAAAGCAGCCAATGAACCCAGCCAGTGTCTTCCGAGTGGCAGTTTTTTCGGCCTAACACTAAAGGGGCCAATTTTAGAATTCTGGCACCCACTACTCTTTTATAATAAGGGAGAGATTAAAGGTTCCCTTGCTCGAAAGCCAGTTGAATCCGACTCTAGGGTTGCGGTGCTTATCTCCGTTTCAAAGCCGAAGAGCCAGCGCTGTCCAAAGATGTTTCCGTGGTCATGTGGCCGGCATGACTAAACACCAAGGCGCACGGAACGCTGTTACCTTCCCACCGAAGTGGTCCTTATTTATCTACTTGCAATTTCTTGCTTTCGAACTGCTAGGTTGGCAGGAGCTGGAACTAGAGACGGGAGCTCACTCCGTCATGCGGCACCTGGGTCTCGAACTGCTGAACTACTGACCTTCCACAGCCTGCAGTTCAGCGTCTTAACCACTTGAGCCACCGCAGCTCCTATAATTATATTAGGGAGCTTTAAAAAAAATCCCAGTCCCTTAGGTGATGAGCACATGAAGCTGCCTTATACTGCATCAGACCATTGGTCCATCAAGGCGAGAACTGTCTGTTTTCTCAGACTGGCACTGCTTCTCCAGTGTCTCAGACAGAGGTATTTCACATTACATACCACCTGATCCTTTTACCTGGAGATGCTGGGGATTAAACCTGGGGCCGTCTGCATGCCAAGCAGATACTCTACCTCTGAGCCACAGCCCCTCTCAAAGGGCATGATTGCCCTCTCTTACAGCCTACAGCTTGCCTTGCTTTAGTGATTCATCTTGAGCAATTGTTATTTGTAAGCATCATCTTGCTCTTCTTTGTCCCGCCCCTCCAAATGTACCTGCTTTTGCTTGTGGTTCATGTCTGCGTAATGGAGCAGAGGTCAACGACTTAACTCTGCCACTTCAGGCAGACAAAAGGGAGACGGGAACCTCTTTCATGGGAGCTGTATCCTCTTGCACTGAGCAGCGTCTTCCCTGAAGAAGACTGCTGTAGAGCACGCCCGCCGGTCTAATGTGGGTTCTGGTGGGTCCCATTTCCGGGAAAAGAAAGAGCACCATCCTGTGGGGAGAAGGAAGTTGAACGCCTACGTGCTGCAGTTTCAGGTGGGCTTGGAGTTTGCAAGAAAGCATCGCTCCACCAGGAGCGTCTTCTCCTCAAGGCTGCTGGCGCGGATGAGAATGGCAGAGGAGGCTGTGGCTGTTGCCCAGCTCCCCTTTGCATCATTGGGGCTTTTGTAGGGGGGTTTTTTGGATATGTTGCATCTTGCTGTTTTGGGAAAGGGAGACAGCACAGGAGCTTAGGGGTGTTGGGAACAAACAGTTGAAGCTCCTTCGTTGACACTGAAAGAGTCGGTTTTCTCACACGTTTTCCAGGTGAGAAGCCTTTTGAGTGTGATGTTTGTGACATGCGCTTCATTCAGAAATACCACCTGGAGCGCCACAAACGTGTGCACAGCGGGGAGAAGCCGTACCAGTGCGAACGCTGCCTGCAGGTAATGCTTCTTGCCTCCTCGTTTCACCTGTGTTTTGGGATGTGTCTGTCCTGTAGGCCTCCTGAGTTCATGATAGAGGGAAGCAATTGCACCTGTGTCTGCTCTAAGTGTGTCTTAGCTTCTCAGCAACAGAGATCCCTGGGCAGATACCTCCATGATTCCAGCTCAGCAGCAGAAAGCAACTCATAACCAATGTTTCCTCTAAGGTGTGGAGTCTTGTGAGCAAAAACTTCTACTTGATGAGCTACTGGCATTAAAGTTGTGAGCAGTGTTCCCTCTAAGATGAGTTAGTGCGAGCTAGCTCACAGTTTTTTAGTCTCCGGCTCACACATTTTTGTCTTAGCTCAGGAAGGATGGCTCCAGAGCAAACTAATTTTATGCAGCAGCCAAGTTGCTCACTCCCAACTTTAATGCCAGTAGCTCACAAAGTAGAATTTTTTTCTTACATGCCTCCACAGCTTAGAGGGAACATGGGTTGTGAGTGAGCAATTTGGCTGCTGCATAAATTGATTTGCTCTGAAGCCATCCTTCCTGAGCTAAGACAAAAATATGTATTTCATTTGTCCTAGTTGAGGTAGGAAGTGGGGTAGATGCCATGAATTAGATCGATCTCTCTGGAGGACGTGTAGAGGGCCTTTTTATTGCCGCCTAAATGCAGAGGCAGAGCCCTGACCTGGATGGCCCAGGCAAGTCCGATCTCGTCAGATCTCGGAAGCTAAGCAGGGCTGACTCTGGCACCTATTTGGATGGGAGGCCTCCTTGGAATGGGAGGTGGGCCACAGAGGCAGCCTGATCAAGCCACCTCTCTGAAAAACACCCAAGCCACCAGTAGGGGTCTCCAGACGTCAACCGTGACTTCCAGGCAAGCACGTAAAACACAGACACCGACACAAAATTAAAAAAACCTCCAACAGAAATAAATGCAGAGTGGGTTTTCTGGTGCAGAGGTGATGGTTAACCTAACACAAACTGCAGCTTGCAAACTCACTTCAAACCATGGTTGTGTGTTACGACCTACAGCCAGTCCCTGACGTATTTTAAATATATACATTGTGCCTTTGGGGTGGTGAAGCCCAGGACAGTGATTGGTTGAGCTGGGATGATAGCGTTAAACATTCAGTTGCTCGTGCAGCTGAAGAGCTTGCAGTGAAGCTGCTTTGATGAAGGGGAAATTGTCACTCTGTCCGAAGCTTCGCCTGGGGTAGTCTGCGGACTGGGAAGAGGGTGGGGCGCAGCATGGGCAGTGGGATGAGAGAAGAACTTGAAGGAAGAGGAAGGTGAGGATGAGGTCTGAGGAAAGGGGGAGTGGAGATGGTGAAGTGAAACAAGAAGGGGCTGATCAGCGGGGTTTGGTTTCTGAAGAAAAGTTGTTGTTGATCTTCAGATTTGGAAGGGTTAAGTGGTATCTGAGGTGGTATCTGAAGGAAGTGAGGCAAAATAGGCAGCGGGCTGAAAGGCAAGAACCTGAGGGAGCAATAGGTGGGGAGACAGAACTGAAGAGAGGAGGAGGTAAAGGGGAAGGTAAACCTGGGCAAAACGACTCCTAGTTTGGTGTAGTGGTTAAGTGCGCAGACTGTAACCTGGGAGAACTGGGTTTGATTCCCCACTCCTCCGCTTGCACCTGGCTGGATGACCTTGGGCAAGCCATAGTTCTGTCAGAGCCACTGTTCCCTCTAAGCTGAGTTAGTGTGAGCTAGCTCACAGTTTTTTAGCCTCCGGCTCAAACATTTTTGTCTCAGCTCAGGAAGGAGGGCTCCAGAGCAAACTAATTTATGCAGCAGCCAAATTGCTCGCTCACAACTTTAATGCCTGTAGCTCACAAAGTAGAATTTTTGCTCAGAACAAGACTCCACAGCTTAGAGGGAACATTGGTCAGAGCTGTTCTTGAAAAGAGCAGTCTGTGTCAGAGCTCTCTCAGCCCCACCCACCTCACAGGGTGTCTGTTGTGGGGAGGGGAAGGGAAAGGAGTTTGTAAGCTGCTCTGAGACTTGAGTGAAGGGCGGGGTATAAACCCAATCTCTTCTTCTTCTTCCTAGGGACCCAAGGGGCTGTGGCAGGAATGGGTGGGTGGGGCCTAGTGTTGCTAGGCCGATTGCGGTTGCTTCTGCCTCTACATTGTCATAACCTAACAAACGGGAGAACAGTAGCCAGGAACCAAGGTGAGGGATGAATCTCACACATTGGTTTGGGCTCACCAGTCAGTTCTTCGACTGAGGACTTCTAGTAAAGCCTAACCTTTGTTAAATAGAACAGACCATGCTTAAATGTGGTGACGTCGGCCTGTGTGGGACTGCATGGCCGCCCTCGCGTCTGTTGACTTCCATTCCTGAGTTCTCCCTCTCCCTCCCTCCCTCCCTTTCAGAGCTTCTCCAGGACAGATCGGCTGCTGAGACACAAACGAATGTGCCAAGGTTGCCCAAGCAAATCGTCCGACTCGCAGCTGCTGCTTTAGGGGTGGGCCCGGAGAGATGAATTTGGAAGAAGCCGGAAAGCCAATGGAATTCTCTGTGGTCTTTTTGTTGTTTTTTTTTGGGGGAGGGGGGATTCTCTTGTGCTTGTGTTTGCCTACTGGGCGTACCCCCCTGTGAAAAGGGGAAGAGCTGAGGCGGGGCACGGACATTTCAGGCAAGTTTTGGACGCTGTAAATAAGTTGAGGATGAACTGCCCCTTGCAGTTGTGGATAAACTTTGGTGTTTGGGGGTGGGGTTTTCCCGTGGGAGGGGTGGGTGTCTATTTTGTGGGGGTGAGTTGTCACCATTTGCCTCACGGAAAGGTTTTGAGAGAACTGCTAGGCCTCTCCTGCCGGTCCGGAATGATGGCGCTTTAAGAGCTGTTGACCAACCTATCCTCCAACTTGCTGAACCACTGGGCTTGCAAAGACGGGGAGGGGGGGAAATATATATTTAAAAAAAGACAGCAAGCCTGGCACCAAACTGTTTTATGGAAGAATGTGACACACAAGCAGTGGATTTAAGAGACAGTGTCCGAAGATTTTTGAATCCCGAATTGACCAGGAGTCTGTCCCATGAAATCTTCGCCATAAGGTCAACCGAGCTCTTCGTTTTTTGTTGTGGTTTTTTTTTTTTTTATCTACTATGGTATCTGGGTTTGTGATTTTAAGTTCTTCTTATCCCTCAGGTTTCAAGAACACAAGGGCTGGAGAGGGGGTGGCATATGCGGCCAGCGATTGTAAAAATCCACCTTTCAAGCGGTACCGCTGGCACAGTCGGTGAGATGCTTACTTACATCCAGCTGGCTGGAAAGAGACGTTTGGTTACTCCCAGGTGGGGAGAGGAGCTGCAGCCCTTTTACAGGAAAGGGGGCTCCTTTCCCCCACTCCCTTGTTAACATGCATTCAGGGTCCACTCCACTGAAATGCCTCTTTTTGCAGAACTTGGGGTCTTCTGAAACCCTTGATTTTGAGCTGGTTGAAATCCAAAATCACCTTGCTTTGGCGACTGGGACTCAAAACTGTCTCTGTGTGGTATTGGAGGAATCAGAGTTCTCTTTGGGTTCTGTGGGGGGGCGGGAGAACATAGGCTTCCTGCGTAAACGAACCAGATGTTTGAAACTTGAGGGACCCAGTGTGCCTTTTGGTGCCATTAAATCAGTTTCAGCTGCCTCGGCCCTGAAAACCATCATCTTGGAGAAACCACCCTTGGAGAGAAGCAGAGAAAAGTCCTTGGATGCTCCTGGCTGCCCAGGTGGCTTCACTGGAAAGAATTTTGCCAAAAGGTGTAGCCCAGTCCGTCCGTCTCCCCCCCCCCCAAGCTATTCCAGCTAGTCCTGCTAGCTCTGCTTTGCTTTAAGAAACCGAGGTCTCGTGTGATACCTGCTTTTGATTCAGGTGATTGTGGGGTTTGCAAGGACGGAGAGGGAGAGAGGTAACGCCGTGTCTAGGACTCTGTCGCTGTTGTGAAATGGGTTTCCTGCGCCTGGAATCCTAGGGTATCATTTGTACTGTTAGCAGAGCGCCCCCCCCCCTTCTTCTTCTCCCTCTTAATCCAAATTCTCACAGGCTTCTGCAGGACTCCAGTGGGGGTTGCGATGCCCATCTGCACACCTATGTAAGTAGAGGCCTAACGTCTTCTCCTCTCCTCACCCCCCACCAAATGAAGTCACATTGCAGCGGGGAAGAGGCTTAAACACAAGCCCATGTGACTTGGGGATTTTGTAAATAGAGGTGGTATACTTTAGATGAAGCAGGAAACCTCTAAGGCCAATCCAGTGTACTGCCTGCCGGTGCTATGTTCAAGGGGCTGTACTGGGGAAAAAATCGCTTGGTAACTTGCAGAGATAGTGCTTAGTGTCACATTCTTGGTCTTTTTCCTAAGCGCCTGTCTCCCCAGGTGACCTTGCGTCTTCGACTCTGTAATTATTCTGAACGCTGGCTGGAGCGATACAGCAGTATTGGAGTGCTGGGCCGTCTGTTGCAGTGTGCTGTGGTCTCGTTAAGGGTATTTATTGCTCTGACACCATGGATACTAGTGTTGCAGAAGGAGCTACTGGGAGAATGTAAGGTGCACCATCCGACTTCCACCACCAGTTCTTCTGCACTCTTTATGAAGTGCAAGTCTTACTGTCCTGGCATGAGATGAGGTGTTATGTTAAAGCTGTTTTCAAACCCTGTTGGCTGTTTCCGCCATAATCCAGCCAAGCAGACACTGAAGGCGATTTTTTGAAATCCCTTTTATGTGTGTGCTGCAGAGTACAGAAAAGAGATTCTTAGTTGTTTGTTGGGAAAGCCAGTGTTACAAACAGTCACATCTCCTCTCATTTATTTAGGTGAAGTGAAACGGGAGCCCCCATTTTCACCAAAATTAGCTCCATCAAATTATTCTCCTAATGATTTCTGGTGACTGTCTTCTCCAAAAGGAAATACAGGATTATGCTTTTTAGAAAGGGAAGAGAGGAAACTTGTTCTAGGGCTCAGTCATGTGTGGCAACATTTTTAAACTGGAGAAATGGGGAGGGCTTTATCAAGCACTAGGCGTTGCTGTGGTTATGCTGGCGTCAGTCTTGCGGTCATTGAAACGTGATGTTATGAAGTGTATTCAGCGGGATGGAAACCTGGATCCTTAGAGGGTCTACCTTTTGCTACCAGTTCCCCACTCGTACCCAGAGTACTGGTACCAGAGTAATGACCCAGAAGTGTCCAGCTCTCTCTCAAGCACTTGTTAATTTTTGCAATACAGAGTTTTGAGGCTTGCTTGCAAGAATATAGTTTGTAGTCCATTTTGGAGGCCAGTTAACGCTGCATTACTGTCGAATGAGTGCCCCGAATGCCAACTGTTTTGGTATCCTTAGTTCTGGTTTTTCAGCGACCAAGCCTGGGAGAAAGGGAAAAGCTGCTTTCGTTCGGGGTGATTGGCGGCAGAGTACGGGCATTGCTCTGTGACCATGGACATGCTGCTCCTAGGGTCGACGGTCTGGAAGTTAACTATGCTGACACTCACGTGATCTTTGCTTTGGAGGTTTTTCTCAGAACCTGGCTAGCATGCGTGCGGGAGGGTACCCAGATGCTATAGCTGGAGGTGGGTGGAAAGGATGTTGCTTCTGTGTGCTGTGGCAGCCACCTTCCTTGTACAGTTGGCATGCAGCCAGACTCGTGGCTCATCACTGTACCGCAGCATGCCTGGTTAGGTTTTACTCAACTCTGAAAGTGAAGTGTGTGCATGGTGGGGCTGTCTCTTTTTTTGAAACACATCTGAGGCTTACAGACCTCGCCAATGCTTTAGGACCAAATTGCTTTTTGGGGGGGAGGGTTCTGAAAGAAAATGAATTGTCTTGTGTTTTAGGGGGACTGTAGACCAGAGTTCCTAATGGTTCCTGTAAAGCAATAAAGCAGAATCATGTGGTTAAGGCTATTCTTAGACTGTGGCACTTACGGTTGCAGGTGGAGGGGGCACATTCCCCTGAGAAGGGAACATCCTAAAGAGGACATTGCCGCATCAGGGGAAAAGGGTGCAGTCTAAACGTTCCCTACAGCTGGCAAGTGAGTTTGCTTGTTAATGGAGTATTAAAACATGCAGTCTTGCTTCCCCCCCCCCCCCCCGCCAGCCTGAAATGGTACAGTCCGGGTAATGCTTTACCATACGAGTCTGCCAGTTTGTGTGCACTGACCCTTGGGCCCAGTGAAGTTGGCAATAAGAAGTGCAATTGAAGCATCTCAGCATTTCCTCTTTTTGGAAATGCTATCCGAATGACAAAAAAAAGCACCACCCACCCAAGACTTCCAGTAAATTGATTCCTCCCTCGATCAGTATTTCATACGAATTAGAAATTAGTCACTGTTTTCAAAAGAGTGCTTCTCTTCCAGGGTGATCACATTGGGTTTTTGTTAGGGAAGGTGAGACCTGGACGAGACCCATTTAAAAATGGGTCTCAGTGGTTCAGAGTGGCCCAAAGAGGTGAGGGTGTATGGCTGTAATTGGACAAGGGTTCAGAATGCTGGCAGTTATAGGCTTCCGAGTGAAAGTAAAAGGTGAAGGCAGGGTGTAGTTTGAAATGCTCCCCGTGCTGCCAGTGGGGGTTGAGATTGTGCGACCATAGCAAAGAGCTTATGGGATTGCAAAGCTACCTGATTCACAGTGACTTGGAAACTTTGAGTTTTGCAAATTCTGGTTCCCAGGCACCGTCTGAGGAAGGGGTATTCCCTTCCTTATGAGAAGGGAAGATACCTCTTCTAAGATGGTCCTTGTCAGACTGACACTTGCATCTATACATAGCTCGTGTCTTTCCTTCCCGGATGCTGGAGAAAGGTCAGTGTTATATGGGGTGGGGGGTGGGTAGTGTACCCTTTGCCCAGTGTGTCCCTTGAGGGCACAGCAAAGTTCATGGGTGGAACCTGTGTCTTCTTGGCTGCAGTTAAGCATTCATATACATTTCGGGTAGCATTCTGTACAATCTGTGTCCCGCACATTTTCCTCCTGGGAAATGGGAGGAGGGTAGGCATCATCTGTCCATGCACAAGTCTGAGAACGTGTTGGAATTCAAGTTCTCTTGCATGCTTGAGCGCACATGAGATTCCCCAGTGAATTGCACCCTGGATGTATTGTCCCCGATTTTAAGAATGGACTCGGGAGTACAAAGAGGTGGCGTGGTTTATACTTACTTGATAATACACAGTCTTTCCAGTGACAACAAGGGGGTGGAAATCCCAGCACTTCTGACTGACGAGAGAAACCACGAAATCTGACCATGTTTCTGCCTAATATCAAAGTCCAATGGCTTATTTTTTTTGTTATTCCTTTCTTCCCTGTCCTTTAATTCACTTATTTTGCTATGGGGGAGGGAATTGGGGAGTAGGGACATACCCAGGGGGTCAGGATCACTTTTAAACTGTAGTTTTTATAAGATGTTATAAACTTGTATCTTTTTACCATTACAGTGTGGTGTCTGTTCCTTCTTCTGTGCGTGATCGGTTTAGGATGCTGAAATGAAATTGTGCTTGCTTTGTTTCCCCCCACCCCCTTCCGTCTCAGTGCTTCACACCCTCCCGCACCAGACATTCCCATGTGCAATTTTTATAATCAAGAATGACTGTCCCACTCATTGCCAGGTGGTGAAAGGGAAGAACCACACTCTAAGGCCAGCATCGTGGTGGAGGGACCTGCCCACCGGTCCAAAAACTAGCGACCTCACCCTGGGGAGTCTGAATCTGAAGATGGCCTGTGTGAAGGTTTTAAAAAAATTTTATGAGTTCTTTGAGGATCCCAAAAAAAGCTAGAGAAGTATGCAGTAAAAGGCCTACTTTAATGTCCAGTGGATTGAACCCTCTCCTGGCCATGATAGGTCCAAAAAAGTCTCCATAAATTTTAAGATTATTTATTAGATTTATATCCTGTCTTGTGAACATAAAGGGGCCTCAAAGAAACTTGGGTTTTAAAGTGCAACTTGTACTACTTCCAATCCTCCCCCCCTCCCCTCCCCAGTTTCCAGCGTACTTTGGTGTAGTGGTTAAGTGCGCGGACTCTAATCTGGGAGAACCGGGTTTGATTCCCCACTCCTCCACATGCACCTGGCTGGATGACCTTGGGCAAGCCATAACTCTGGCACAGCTGTTCTTGAAGAAGAGCAGTTTCTGTCAAGAGTTCTCTCAGCCCCACCTACCTCACAGGGTGTCTGTTGTGGGGAGGGGAAGGGAAAGGAGTTTGTGAGCCGCTCTTTGGGTAGTGAAGGGCGGGGTATAAATCCAATTTCTTCTTCTTCTTTGGTGAGTTTGGGGTGGCAGGTGCTGGGAAGGGGATTGCACGGAGACCCTGGATGAGAACTGTGCCTCCACCTGGTGGGCAGATCTGGGAGGGGTCCCTCTACAGAGGGCAGCACATTTGAAAAGAAAAGGGAAAAAAAACACACCTGAAACCAAGACCTACTCATATCGTCAGGCCCCAACATTTTAATGTCAATGCTGCCATCTTAGGTTGGTTAAAAGCCTGTGAAGCCATGGCTTTCCCCCTAAGAATTGTTTTCATGGGGCGGGGGGAGCACAGATAGCTGGTGGAGAAGATCCTTTCACAGAATCACAATTGAGGAGGCTTGCTGGGAAGAGACGTTCATCATTTGTGCTCTGACTGCAGCCTGATGTTTCCCTAAAAGTGACTTGGCAAATCAACGGGGTTATCCTGTTTTATCCTCAGAGGAGGCCTGGGTGTCAGAACAGCCTCTAAGAGATGATTTGGCTGAGTATGGCGGCTTGAACAGGGTTCTCTCCAGCCCAAGATTAACATCCCATCCGGTTTCAGGCTGGGCTTTCTTTCTCCTCCCAGTCAGTGTGCTAGTCTTTGCTGTACTTGGGGTTTATGACTGTGGTGGTGGCTCGCCGGAACAGTGGGTTGTTCACCTGAAGGAGGAAGCAGGTAGAAGTCAAGACTAAGAGCACGGGCCAGCTAGAGAATACAGGGCATGGCTTTGCTTTCTACCATACATTGATTTACTTTTGTTTCCCACAGAGCTGAGTGCTATCTCTCTATCTTTTGGGCAATTCTATAAATCTATATGGAATTTAAAATAACATTTGGAGATAGATTGCTCAGACTGAAACGTAACGGGGACATAAGACCATGGAATGTTCTGTCTGGTCAAGAGCTCCTTCACAGATTGGCAGGGTGGTTTCGTATTCGCCAAAGCTTCGTTCAAAGCGTGTTAAAGCTAACTGAATGGCATTAAAATGCACAGTCTTTTTTGTATCCATCAGCAAGAAGAGACGCTTAACCTTCGCGTCTGGCTTGTTTTGGATTTAGTAAAAAATCAAACTCTTAATTGCATCTAATTCTGCTTGCTCGTTTCCAGGTTGTAGAACTCTGCATTTCAGCTTGTTGCAAGGGGCAGGTGGCGTCTAGGTTTATAGTCTGCTTCAGCTTTTGGACAGGAGGAAGCAGCTCAGCTGGATGGGTTGCAAGTAAATTTCTGGGCACTGTTGGGGGCAGCTGGTAGGGGGTCTAGCTACACTGACCCACTGTTCACCGCCTACAAATGGAGCCAGGTGTGTGGACTGTCTGGTCTACAGTCAAGGCAGCCGAAAATACTAACCTCATTCCCCCTGGCCCGTATGCACTCTTCCTCGAAGTGCTTGACCTCCCTCCGGTCCCAGCTGTCCACGACGATGCGGTATAAGCCCATGAGGAACAGCCCAGCAATCACAAGGCCCAGCACCAAGCCCAGGACCAGCTTGAACGTCTGGTCAGTAGTACCTGTGAGTGGATAAAGGAGGCATCCAGTGAAACTGATGGGCAGTAGGTTCCGGACAGATAAAAATAAATACTTTACACAGAGAGTGAATAAAATATGGAATTCGCTGCTGAAGGATATAGTGATGGCCATAGGAATAAACAGCTTTAAAAGGGAATTAGATAGATTCATGGAGGATAAGACTATCAATGGCTACTAGCCATGGTGACTGAGGGGAACCTCAACATTCAGAGGCAGTCAACCTCTGAAGCCCAAAGACAGGAGACAACATCAGGGAAACGCCTCAGCCTCTATGCCCTGTTGGCCATTCAGAGATGAGATAGGATGCTAGAGTAGATGGACCATTGGTCTGATCCAGCAGGGCTGTTCTTATGATATAATGCAATTCCTGAAAAGAGGTAACCCACTCCCTTCCAAGAAGCTCAAAAGAAAATTTCCCCCTCCCTTGTTATTCCAGTATGCAATCTTGAACCACAAGGAAAGATGGCGTATAAATGTTTTGATAGATAAATCTGTACTAATGAAATTTGCTAAGTTGGGGGGGGGGGAGGCTGACATGGAACTTAAGAGAAGAAGTTACTAAATGCATTCTGTGTTCATAGGCTGCTTGGCCTCTCCCTAGGCTGAGCTCCAGGCACGCCTGTGGCCTGCCATTAATAAAAAGTCCACAAGTGTCTGGAGACAAAAATAGGACTGAGTTCTAGTGAATGGGAAGCAGGGCTATTTTTGGGCAGGAACGCACAGGAACGGAGTTCCGGCTGACTCCCGAGTTGGCCACGCCCAGCAGGAACTCATTAGCATAATAGGCCACACCCAATAGCAGAAACTCATTAGGATTGGCTACATTAGGGGTGTGTGGCCTAACATGCAAAGGAGTTCCTGCTACAAAAAAAGCCCTGGGTTTTGACAACAAGCAAGATAAATAAGAAGCAAAAGGTGGGTGTGGCTAGATGACCATACTTCTGGTAATGTGGGGTGTGGCCTAATAGGCTAATGAGCTATGCTGTCAGGGGTGTGGCTGGATATGTTAATGAGTTCCTGCTGGGCTTTTCCTACAAAAAAAGCCCTGATGGGAAGCATGTGTCAGTCCTGCTCCAGTAGTTTTGGCGTCATGAACAGGAGAGAGCAGGGATGGGTCAAGTTGGGTGTCCTGGCGATTGCTCAGCCCGCTCAGTGTTCCTGAAGAGGATCATGAGCCAGTCCAATCCCCTTCGGATCTCGCTTAAGTGAACGTTACAGTGGCCGTTTTCCCCCTGATGGAACAACTACCAGAGTCCGCCAGGGGCAAGGTAGTGGTTCCTGGCTGATGTCCAATGCGTTGCTGGCCTCTCTGGGGGGCAGGGGCAATGAAACGACAAATTTGCAAATCTGTCCTAGCCATTGGAGCAAGGGCACCTTGTTATTTTAGGATTCCAAAATAGGGGGAAGAGGAACAGAACTGGGTAGAGGCCATTTGTGTAGTGTCGTCCATGTCTGCAGCAGTTTACGGAATGGCATAAGCAAAAGAAGACAAATGAGAACAGGATCCTGGCCCGAGGAGCTTGCAACTGAAACGCCAATATTGGAGAAGGCAAAGGCTGGAGAAAGGGGGCCCTCTAGCATTTCAGGAAGCCAGTGTGTCGCACGTTTGGTGTGGCAGCTAGTTCAGTAGGCTATTGGGTGGGCACCAGTTTGAAGGTCTGTCTATACAGGGAGATGAATCTCTATCTATCTGCACTGGCTAAGGAGCCAGAAGGTACAGAGATCACTTGCTGGACTGGGGCAGAAGGTAACATGATGGGATGCAGGGGATCGAATCACACGCTCGTAGCCCTCCTGCATCTTATTTAGACCCAGCATCTCAGAAGCTCAGCAGGGTCAGCCCTGGTTAGTACTTGGATGGGAGACCACCAAGGAAGCCCAGGGTTGCTTTGCAGAGGCAGAATGGCCAACTGCCTCTGTCCATATCAGAGGCAGGCAATGGCCAACTGCCTCTGTCCATACCTTGTCTGGGGGCTGCCATACGTTAGCTGTGACTTGACAGCACTTTCTGCCACTACCAAGACTCAAACAGTAGCATAGGTGGCTTCTGCACCCATTCCGCACACCCTCACCTAAAATTCTTCTTGCCCTCTCGGGCCTGCTCTCCCACCACTCACCCTCTTGGCTGTTCACAGTCAGGGTGATATCACCAGTCTCGTCCTCCTCCACGAGGTAGATGAGGAGGCTGCCATCTTCGGCCGTCATCTTGCACCATCTCTCATCCACGGTGGGTGCTGACAACACCCTTGTTGTCTGGTTGCAAGAAACGCTGCAGTTCCCATGCAGGGGGCCTGTCCGGAACGCTTTGCACTCTGCGCAGTCCCTGCCAAGAAGCAACAGGGAATTCTTACCATTTGTTCTTCCTCTTTTGTTCCACTCTGCCTGCCAGGAGCTCTCCCACACCACCTCCCTGAAGCCACCCCCCCAACTTTGCAAAGAAAGATGGAGAAGCAGGGACGTATGCAATGGGTTGGTGGATGGTCTACACAGTTTTCATGAACTCTGCTGCAAGGCTCTTGCTGCTTTTAAGGCATAATATAGTCATTGAAGAGAGAAGACCCTTCTAAAAACAGTAACCAAAAATTGTGGCCAAAGGAAACAGTGGTGGTCAGGTATGCTCAAGCCATAACTGCAGGGATGGCCGAGAAATCTAATTATGCTGATATGCTCTTCCCCATGTCTGTTTCAAGGCAGGCCGGAAAGACACCTGCTAAGTCTCAGCTACCCTCTGCGTTTCTCATCCTCTGCCCACTCCTACTTGTTCTCCCAGATCACATCCTGGCCTCACCTGTGTTGCTCACAAGGCGTCCGGCACTCAGCACAGTGGCTGCAGTGGCTGCCCAGCCAACCAGCCTCACACTGGCATCTGTTGCAGACACAACGCCCATGGCCGCTACATGCGGCACCCTCCTTCAGGCATCCACTGGTGTCCAGGCTGCAGTCACATGCACCACCGGTGTAGTTGCTCTGGCACTCGCAAATGCCACACCTGCACTGCCCATTACCTGTCAGCAGGGGGAGATGTTCATCAGCACCACAGGTTTCCTCTGCTACAGAACCATCCTGCTCTGGGCTTTTTCAGTAGGCATTGCTCACAGACTTGCCTGCATCCATGAGAGCTAGAAACTTGCTTTTAAAAAAAATAAACCTTAGAGGAAGCTGCATTCTGTGCTCAACCTGCACTGCAGTATCCATACAGCCCTGAGCATTAGTGATCTGGTTTTCAACTCCCTATTCAAATAATGTGGCTAGACACCATGGGTTGGATCCAGACTACATTTTCCCCTAATGGAAGTGACGGTAAATTTCCACCAATTCTGTCTTCTTGCTGCAGACCCCTGGTTAACCTCTCCTGCTGTCCCCTGGGAGCAGCATTTGGCAGAGATCAGTGGAGTGTAGCAGGAAAGGTAAGGCAGGAACCCTCTGTTCCACTGAGCCTTGTGTGAGGGGGAAAATTTAGTCCGGCTCCAACCCCATGATTGTACTGTGATTACAGGTAAGTCCTTCAGTACCTTGCCCAGTTTGTCCTATTAATGCAAGGAATGGCTGACTTGCTTTAAATGTGAGCAGCCAGTGTGATGCGGCAACAAAAAAGGCTAATGCAATCTTGGGCTGTATCAACAGAGGCATAACATCCAAATCACAAGATGTCATAGTCCTGCTGTACACTGCATTGGTCAGGCTGCACCTGGAGTATCATGTGCAGTTCTGGAGGCCTCACTTCAAAAAGGATGTGGACAGAATGGAGCAGGTGCAGAGAAGAGCGACAAGGATGATCGGAGGCCTGGAGACCAAGCCCTGTGAGGAAAGGCTGAGGGACTTGGGAATGTTTAGCCTGGAGTAGAGGAGGCTGAGGGGGGACATGATTGCTCTCTTGAAGTATTTGAAGGGTTGTCACTTTGAGGAGGGCAGAGTGCTGCTCCTGTTGGCAGCAGAGGAGAGGACTCGAAATAATGGGTTGAAATTAAGGGCGGGAAGATACCAGCTGGATACAGTAAGAGTTGTGCGACTGGAACTGGCTGCCTAGGGAGGTGGTGGGCTCCCCCTCCCTGGCAGTCTTTAAGCAGTGGCCAGACAAAGCTTTGTCAGGGATACTCTAGGCTGATCCTGCACTGAGCAGGGGGTTGGACTAGATGGCCCGTATGGTCACTTCCAACTCTGTGATTCTATGATTCTGTTCTATGATCTGCCCAATTAAAGGTGATAATCCCCCCCAAAAAAACTGGAAGGCATCACAGTGTACCTGCGCAGAGCTCCCCGTTGTGTCGTTCGCAGCCAGTGTCGTCACACTTGCAAAGGGGCCCGCTGGCGTGGGTGTGGCACTGGCATTTTCCGCACACACACTGGCCCTTGCCACTGCACACAGGACCGGTGCTGTTTCCATCGCGGCACCCAGCTTCTGGGTCATCGTGGTCCTCTTGCTTGCACTCGCAGAGACGGCCTCTGTGGCCCTCCAAACAGCTAGGTCAGAAACAAAACGGTGCAGTGCTTCACCACTGCTGTGTTCTACAGGGAGCATGCCACCTTAGACCTGCTAAGCCTCCAGAGGTGACACACGCACCCCGCCACTGCTTCTTCCCCTTCCCCTCCCTGCAGCTTTGGCATGTTTTCCTTTTCCCACTGTCTTCCCCCATCTCATGAAGGACAACCCAAATAGACTGAGGTGCTGAATCATCTTCCCGGCAAGAAAAGGCTATCATATAATAAAACCAAAGTTTGAGTCCAGTGGCACCTTTAAGACCAACCAAGTTTAATTCTGGATAGAAACTTTTGTGCGTGCACATAAAAGTTTATACCCATAATTTTGTGCATGCACGTAAAAGCTTATATCCATAATTTTGTGTGTGCATCTGAAAGCTTATACCCAGAATTTTGTGCATGCGCATAAAAGCTTACATCCAGAACTAAACTTGGTTGGTCTTAAAGGTGCCATTGGACCCAAACTTCGTTCTGCTCCTTCAGACCAACAGGGTTACCCAACTGGATATAATAGAACTGACATGGGAGGAAGGGCATGGCAGAGGTTTTAGATTACGGTAAACAGTGTGGAGGCCTTGGATACAGAGGATTCATTTTCCCTCTTGCAGAATACTGAGAATTCAATGGTAGGAATTTCAGGAAGTAATTCTTCAAACAACTAATCATGAATTCATGGAATCTGCTGCCGTAAAGGGGTGTAAGGGCCACTGGTTTAGACAGCTTTAAAAGGAGATGATCTCATCAGATCTCAGAAGCTAAACAAGGTCAGCCCTGGATAGTACTTGGATGGGAGACCACTGAGGAAGTCCAGGGTTGCTACACAGAGGCAATGACAAACCGCCTCTGCTCATCCCTTGCCTTGAAGACCCCATGAAGGGTCTCTATGAGTCAGCTGCAACTTGATGGCATATCCCCACCAGCAAAAGTAGATGAGGCAAATTCCTGGGGAGTATGGCTCTAGCCATGGGTATGAGCCATGAGAGCCAAAGGGAAGCTCCGTGTTCAGAGGCAAATATATCTCTGAATATGAGATGCTCTGGAGAACAAGGGAGGGCTATCATAAGAACATAAGAGACGCCAATGTTGGATCAGGCCAAAGGCCCATCCAGTCCAACACTCTGTGTCACACAGTGGCCAGAAATACCAGGTGCCATCAGGAGGTCCACCAGTGGGGCCAGGACATCAGAAGCCCTCCCACTGTTGACCCCCCCGCCAAGCACCAAGAAGACAGAGCATCACTTGCCACAGAGCCCCCTCCCTCCCTTGTGGCTAATAGCCACTGATGGACCTCTGCTCCATATGCTTATCTAAACCCCTTTTGAAGCCGTCCATGCTTGTAGCACCCACCACTTCCTGTGGCAGTGAATTCCAAGTGTTAATCACTCTTTGGGCGAAGAAGTACTTCCTTTTATCCGTTCTAACCCGACCGCTCTGCAGTTTCATGGAGTGCCCACGAGTTCTTGTATTGTGAGAAAGGGAGAAAAGTACCTCTTTCTCTACCTGCTCTTTCCCATGCATAATCTTATAAACCTCGATCATGTCACCCCTCAGTCGTCGTTTCTCCAAGCTAAAGAGCCCTAAGCGCTTTAACCTTTCCTCATAGGGAAAGTGTTCCAATCATTTCCATGCCCTGTCGTTTGCTGGCCACTGTTGGGAACGGGATGATGGGCCTTTTCGAGTGAGGCCCTTCTTATTACTTCAACATACCTCCTGATTCGTGACCCCAATGTAACCACGTAGCTCTATGCCCCCTGTCAACGCTCCCTGAATATCTTCTTTTCTACTGCCCGCTTCCCCTATGCCAATACCTGCAGACACCACAGGTGAGGTTGCCGTGGCCACCAGAACAGTGTGGCGCATAAGGTTTGACATCTCCGCACTGGCACTCGCACACTGTTGACAGTTGCACCCGCAGTTCCTCCCCTACTCCCAGCACTCGCAGTGCCAGATCCTGGGTACCAGGGAGGCAGGTGGTGGCATTTATCCTTACGGTGAACTGTACCTGTGAGAGGGGTGTAATTGGGATACATGTACACACAAAGCTCCCCACCCATCACTGCCCATGAGTGATGGGGGGGTGCTGGCTCCATTTCAAGCCGACCGAGCCATCAGACCAAAGGCCTCACCAACTGGTTGATGTGTACGCCGGAGCATTCTCCGCCCTGCGTGCGTCCAAACGTTTCCGAGTCTCCACAGTGCGAGTCGTAAGCGATCGAGATTCCGGGAGGAAGGTCTGAGGAGTGTTCCAAGTTCACGGTGGACGAGAGGCTCTGTCGGGGAGACAGGCGATGGAAGCGGTTGTGTCAGACATTGAGAAAGCTCCCGTGCCAATTGACGCAAATCCCCGCTTGTCATGAAGCCCGTGAGGCAAATCTTGACCCGCTCTCAGCCTAACCTACCTTAGAGGTGTTGGGTATGAAATGAAAGAAGGGAGACCATGTAGACTTCTTTATTCCTTGGAGGGAAGGCTGGATAAGAGTGTCATCATTAAAACAGCTAGATTCGAGTCTGGTAGCACCTTAGAGTCCCAACAAGATTTCCAGGGTATAAACTTTTGAGAGTCAGAGCTCCCTTGGTCAGGTATCTGATGAAGGAAGCTTTGATCCTCAAAAGCTTACACCCCAAAAATCTTGTTGGTCCCTAAGATGCTTCTGGACTCAAATCCACTGTACACAGCAGACACAGCTGCCCTCTGAAACATTAAAATAATCTCCCTTCTACGGTGGTGCAGGGGATTTTTCCCTGCTTAACAATAACATCTGAACTGCCATGCTTTGGCAGTTCTAGCCCCGTGCTGGTGTGAGCAACCAAGCCTTGTCCTAGCTCATCGTCTACCCAACGATTCCAAAGCTTCGGTGAGTAGATAAATTGGGGACCACCCGTAAGGGGGTGGGCACACCCCTCCCTCCCTTCGGGAAGGTGTTAGCTGCCGAGGCAACATCTGAGGCGCGGCGACCGGAAAGACGAAAGAACTGTGTCGGTTTCCCTGCAGTGGAGCGAGTCGGCCAGGCGGTGGCAGTGTGTGGCTGCACAACATCAAGAAGCCAGACGTCGTCAGCCAGCCGACAAGATGCCGTAGGAACACGACTGACCCAGCCCGCAGATGAAGCCCGGCTAGCTGCAATTTGTGTGTAATTAATGCTGTATGTTTGTCTTCCCTATCCCCACAAATATTGTTAGTCCAACTGTCTCAAGAGTAACTGTAAATCGCTCTGAGCCCGCAGGTATGTGGGAAAGAGCGATCAATAAATCGAAAGCATTATTATTATTATTTATTCAGCTTCTGTCTTGACTCCACTAAAGTTCTTTCTTTCCCCCTCTGATGAGAAGAGTAAGATGGACAAGTTTTTTTTATACTGGAAAATCTTGAAGATAATTCAATCACAAGTAGCCCACCCCAACCTGGACTTCTAGGGATCTCCTGCCCTCCCAAAAGGTTCTGCCCCTCTTGCTCCCCCACCTTTCTCCTCCTCACCTTGTAGGCATCGGTAATCAGCTGCACCACGTTGCTGGAATCTTCCTTCAGTTCCCCGACAGCTGATTTGGGAATCAGCTTGCTCAGCTCCTGGAGAGGATGAGAAAAAGTGAGCCAGGCTCCTGACGTTCGGCCGGCGTCCAGTCCTCCGCTTCCAGCTCACCTCATACATGAGAAGTCTGGGACCAGTCACAGCAAATATGGGCTGGATGTTAGACTTTGACAACACCTCAGCCAAGTGCCCAACGGAGGGGTAGTCCTGCAAAGAGACGAAGCCAGGGATGGTCATCGAGAGGACCCCGCCCGTTTCCATTTGTCCATCTCCTCCCCGTCACAGCGGCATCCCTTCCTTTCCGGAGCTGGGGGACAGAACCTAGAATCCTTGGCGCTCTGCCCTCCCCATCTGAACAGTCTAAGCTACAACAATATACAAGTAATGTAGATTATTATGGGATGTTGTCTAGGTTGCATTATTTATACCAGAATCTCTATATATGTTACCAGAACTGGCTATGTTAGTCGATGAAGAGCTCCAGACCTGCTGTCTTTAATGGCCAAGGAAGGAGCCATGGCCCAGTAATGGAAAACATGCGGAAGTTTCCATGTTCAATCCCCACCATCTCCAGTTAAAGGTTTTAAAGTAGACACTTCTCTTCCTGAGACCCTGGACATGCTGCGCCACCAGTTGGAATTAATTAAGAATTAGCGGAGCAACGGCTCAAAAATGTCTGCATTAGGTTGTCAGTGCAATGAAACCAGAAAGGAGGGGTTCGAGCAGCAAAGAACAGCATTCATTTAAACCAGTGCAGAGCGGCTATGACAATGGAGTCACTACCAGAGGGCGGGAAACATATGCAGACAGTGATTTTTATACTGGTGCACTGCCAGCATGAAACCGGATGCAAATGTAGACAGTTTGTTGGGGGATGGGAGCGAAAATGTCAGGAAACCGGCAAGAAACACACATGTAGATTCGACCTGCTAGAGCTAACTATGGCCAAATACTCCAACTGTCCTTTTCATGATAACCAGAGACCAAAGTTTGAGTCCAGCGGCACCTTTAAGACGCACAGAGTTTTATTCAAGGTATAAGCTTTCGTGTGCACGCACTTAGTGCCAAACCACAGTTTGCAACCATTAGCATTTATTTCTGTTCTTATCCTATTTCTCTTTTGTTACTGAGCACACAGGTTTGGGGCCGGGGTCCTGGGGGGTGTGTGTGTACAAGACCTCATAGGGCACAGGCCAAGGATCTAACCAAGGTGTGGAGAAACAACTCAGATCCTGTGTGGAAAGTTATTAAATACATACAAAGAATATAAATAATAGCTCTGAATTTTAAAACGGCTGTGTTTAATATTAAAGTCATCATATTTGATTTGGGGTTATGAGGTAAAAATGTGATTTTACTTCTGTGAGGAAGTAAAGCTACGAAGTATGTAGGCCTCTGGGCAGCCTGCCAAGCAGTGAAGCTGATGCCTAGTTACTGTTACCAAGGTTGGTTTTGTTCACTGCGGTTTTCAGTTAATCTCTCTCTCCCATTTGTATGGGACAAAAGGATTCAAAATGTATCACTTCTGATTAGTCAAGTTTATTGTTGGTTAATTAGTGGACAATTTAACCACCTTCCTTGGCCTTTAGCTTAGGACCACTAAGCTAAAAGGAGGAAATAAAAAACCTACACCCCAAGCAATACATATGCACTGAACTGCTGTCTTCCATTTCCAGTTGGAGAAATTCCCCCTACACCAAGTATGCCCTAAGCTTCCAGGTTCATGGTGCTTCTGAGCTCACTTTTTGCCTATTTCCACATATTTCAAGAGGATTGAGGGAGACCTACGTAGAGGTGGCTTTCCGTGTATAGGCCATTTTCATCCAGGTGACAGTGCCCATCATTGGGCAGGTAGACTCCACCCAACTTCCCATCTCCTGCCATGTGGAAAGTGCCATCTGAAGTGAAGACCAACAGCCTTGTCACATCCCGCCAGCCGATCTGTTCCTGGAAAGAGGGAAGGAATTATATAGTAGCAATTGGGAAAGGGTTGCCCCCCTCCAGTTATCTGTATTTAGGGGTGAGCAGCAATTTGACCTTAGGAGCAATCCTTCTCAGCTGATGTGGTAAACAGATATTTTATGAAAACAAACTGTCCGTGTGAGACATTGTCCATGGGGCAGAGTCAATAAGCTTGTTGAGAAAGCCTAAATAAAATACCGCAATCTGCTGAATTTACAAATATCAAAACTGGGATTTTGCATCAGAATTCAGCATTTGGATTGTACAGTTGAAACGGGGTGACAAAATCTGAAACTGACATTTTTTAAATTTAGTTAAACTAATTTTCAAAGCGGGTACAAGAAACTATGTCGCATGCATCTGTAAACTTCGTATCAGGGCCCAGGTTAGGAAATTGGATGGAAACATGCAATAGATGGTACTTTAGACACCCCTGACCTTGAGGCGGCGCTCCAGATAAACGTCCCATTTATCTAACAGTTGGGCTGGCCCTGTGTGAAATCCACATTGCTACAGGATGCACACTTTGCATATGCTCAGAAGATAATAGTGCAGGCCAGTGTTTACACATGTTTGTCTGTACTAATACGCCTGTCCACGTACACATTCCTGGGCATGCAACAATTGTTCTCTGATTCTATCACCTGTGGGTATCCCAGCCAGGTGCCTCTTTCAGATATGCACACAGACCCTCTGGCTTCTCACCTTGCAAGCCGCCACCTGCATGATCGCATCGAAGCCCCCCTCGGCTGTGTCTAGGTTCCCCGAGACAAACTGCTGGCTGACTCTGCTCTCAAACTCACTGGCGTTGTCGGTGAGCGCCAGCACGTGCCGGTAACTGAACGGTGATTGACAGGGCTCATTGGCACTCGGGCAGGGGTGGAGCCACTTGGCAGGTGAGGTGCTCACGTAGGGTAGCACTGTCTTGTCCACAAAGGAGCCAAACCCTGCAAGGTAGAAATTCTGCTGTTTAACCACCTGCACTCTTGAAAGCTTTTATCACAATCTCCTCCTCTTTTCTTGCCTTGGTAAAATGCCACACAACACCGAGTTCCTTGCCTCATGGGGACTACGGGGCCTGCCTCACTCTGGGATATTGCAAGCAGGGGCAACTTTAGGCTGACACTGCTGGCCCCCAGCCCTTTGGGTTGCCCCAGCCTCTTATCTCATGATGGTTCCAGATGCTTTATTGGACACCCATGGCTTCCTATGTGGCCTTTAATGAGGAAAAGAGTGTTGGCCTCTCCAACTTCTGGGTAGGGTGGCATGGCAGCATGGATGGCAGCGAGGCAGGGGTGCAGAGATTAGCCCCCCCAATCCACTGTCCACTGTCTCACCTTGCCATGATCTCAAGCCCCCTGCTTGTATTTTCAACATTCATTTTTTAAAAAGGTAAGGATACAATCCAGCCAAAGGTAAACATGTTAAGGTCCAGGTGTTTTAAATAAGGAAATTAAAATACATGGTTTTTTACAGTAAGAGCTGTGCAACAGTGGAATCAGCTGCCTAGGGAGGTGGTGAGCTCCCCCTCACTGGCAGTCTTTAAGCAGCAGCTGTGGTAGAGGCCCCTCTGTGTGGGGGGGGGGGGGGGGGGTTGGACTAGATGGGCCTGTATGGACCCTTCCAACTCTGTGATGATATGCTTGGTTACCTAATCCTTGACATGAATAAGATGTACAGCCTGATCCTGTTCATATTTATTCACAAGTAAAAATATATATGCATAGGGCTTTTGAAAATGTCGGCTGGATTACATCCTTAACCTATAACCCTGGAGGTTAGAAAGAAATGAAGAAAAGCCTGAGCAGAAATGGAACCATACACTGACTAAGGAAAACGCAGGTCCTTAGTCCTCCAGTGGCTGAGGCTGCTATTGCAGCTGTGGAAGGCCCTGTCATATGAATAAGGGAAGCCAATAACAAGTCCTGATTTACAGTGGTCCCACTCAGTTTCTGAAAAGGTCAATGGCTGCCAGGGGAACTACAAGCCGTTGGGGAACCCTGCTGTAGCTTTCTCCTTATTTGTATATTTGCTAGGTAGTTTTTCTATGCCACCATTCCATTCATCAAGTGCTCTCCAGGGCAGTTTACAACAGATTTTAAAAAATTACAATGACAATATTATAAAACCAGCATAATAAAAACAATAGCATTAGAACAAACATCAATGTAAAATTATCATCAATTAAATGCCAACATCAATTCACTAGACTCAGTTAAAAACCGACAAGAAGTCAAATCAGTATAAGAATCAGAATGTATCCTATGCAGTTATACCGATGTATAACAAGTAACAGCCCTGGTTAAAAGTTCTATTGAGCTTCCTGTGGAACGCCAATAGGCAGAGGGGGTGTGTGAATCTTTCTTGGGAGTGAATTCCACAGGTATGACCCTAGCAAGGCTTTCCCCCTTAAAGTCAATCATTTCTACTTTGGACAGTCCCTGAGATATTCTTGTCCCAGACAGTTGCAAACGTGAGTTTGAATTCACGCTGGTGTTTTGGTGGGCAAAAGGACTGTAGCTTTTGGCAGTGCTATTTCCCCACTTCCCCGGCACTACAGGAGCCTGAAATGCCCCCAATAATCCAATTCCTGGGTAAGAACAGGATTTCAAGTAGTGCTTTGGGTTCCCGCAGGAGGGGGAAGGCAGGAAAATCAAACTTTGTGAACAGAAGTCCTATGGAAACACTAGCCAGAATCCAAGCCACACACGGGGAAATGTGCAGACTATATTCTACCCAACTGTTCAGTAACTGGGTAATAAACCTGCTCCTGACCAGAATATGCAAGCACTGAGATGACTGACACACATTCGGCATTTATTTTTTAAACTGTATTGAATTTCACTAATAAAACAAATTTATGTTCTAAATACCTACAATTAGGGTTTTGATATTTCACACTGACTTATGATGCCCTTCCAGGGAGTAATTCTCCCGACTCCCCCAGCCACCACCACATCCTGGCTACACAGGCCTTCCATACCAATTTTCACAGAGGTCGTGATATTGCGGAGGGCAGCCAACAGGTCACTGCCCAGCCTTCTGATGTTCTCCAGATCATCCTTCATGGAGTGGGACAGGTCCATCAGGTAGTACAGGTCCACAGGGTAGCCTTCAGCCCGTCTGAAGCGCACAGTGAAACTCTGCTCCTCCCCTGTGGATACAGAACAGGAAAAATGGTGGAGGTGGGGGAAGGTATCCAACCCGGAGACAGCAGCGACTTAATTATTATTCATCTGTCCATTTGGTACGGCAGTCTTGGAAATGGCGGAATACTTCCGAGATTGGCCCTTGGTTTCCACATAAGGGGTATTCCATTTCTTCAAAGAGTCTGTAGAACACATTGGCTTTTAGACCGTTCAAGCGGAGCCACCCATGAGAAATTCGTGCGGAAATTCTCCCCCTGGTCCCTGCTTCAGATACCCACCCCCAGCCACCTTTCTCTCCCTTCTCCCACGGCTGCGACCTCCTCCCATCTTTTTCCTTTCACCCGCTTCTCTCCCTTACCCCCAACACTGATCCCCACCTCCCCCTTACCCTCCCCACTGCTCCCTCTTTCCTCAGTCTGACCTCCCTGCTGGCCACCCTTAGCCAGGTCGTCCAACGGAAGTGCCACCAGTGCCTGCCTGCTCTGGCAGCTCCCCCTCCCCGACTCACCTCAAGCATGGGGGGGGAGGGGCTCTTGTTTCACTCTGCCCCTTTCTTCTTTGTCATATAATTGTCCTGCCCTGCCTCGACCCCATCCTACAAAAGTGAATGCTCCCGACATGAAACAAGGGCTGCTGGTGCTTCCTGGGCAGATCAGGCCACCTAGATGGATCAGTGGATGACTCAAGAAGTGACTCACCAGTCCCTGGCCCTGAGTTATTATTGAGGCAGAAAAAGTTGATGAGCCATTTTGTGCTACATGATGACTAATGTTGTTTGCCGCCACAGTTTTTTTCTTCACAATTAAAAGCAGGGTTTTTTTCTTAAATTCATAACAGGGTCATAAATTAAGTTATAAGGAATGATGAGTTGGCTCTTAAGTCTCCTTTACAGAGATCACAATAAGCCTTTCACAAGAGACCTCACTCAATTGAGGTTCTGTTGATGGAAGAAGCAGGAGAGCTGATTTCGACCGCTTCTTCCTCTCCACTGCTGCCACCTAGTTTGTGCAGCTTTTTGCCCATGCGAGTCCTCTAACCCCGAGCATTCCTCTTTCCAGCACTCATCAGCAATTTCCAGAGGAAGCAGAAGGTGAGAAAGATCCACCTTCACCAGTGTATTCTGGTGGTACTGCATAGGATCCAACCCTATGTGTTTGCATTGTGTTATTTTTTACACAACTATGAATAATTGAATCAATTTTTATTCACCCCAGCAAAAGGACCCACTCTGTTATATGTAACAGGCAGGGGACTGTAAAATCGTAGAACTGGTATGATACAGGAGCCGGGCTGCACTGTTGCACATGGGGCAATGAATATATAACTAATGTTTGTTTGGGCACAGACCAATCTGTTCATGAGAATGAAGTATTGTGCCCACATGGAATCTAAATTGACTGAAGAGGTCAGCCAACTCAAGAAGGGGGTAAATCTGAAAAAGAAGATTGCAAGAAGTCTTCCGCATTTCTAGCACAAAGTTGGTATTGGTGGAGCAGGGAGCCTGGCCATTTGGCTTTAGCGCATTCCAGGGGCCCCACACACACACCTTTACCGCTGATTCCAAGCTGATGCCTGAATGAAGTCCCTTTACAGGCATTGCCTCTGCAGTTGGGACAGTAGCAGCTGATAACTAGGGCAGCTCGGTAATCGTGGGTCTCTCCCAGTGCAGGCCCACACCAGTATGGCGACCCAGCGCTGCTGTCCAGTTGCTAGCTGTCCATAACTAAAGGCCTCCTATGTGGTGGAGACCTGATAGCCCACGCTAGTCAGATCTCGGAAGCCCTGTGGGGTTGCCGTAAGTCGGCTACAGCTTGACAGCACTTTACACACACGCACATGGTGGAGAAAGGGGGGTAGGAGAAACCACTCCAACCAGATCACTCTTTCATAAAAACAGATATCTGCCCAATATATACTCTGAGATGAGTAACAAAAGGCTGTTCCAGGAAGGAGGAGTGAGGATGCTCTTCCACCTTGATCCGCCATGTCGAACAGGTGCCTTCCACCACCCACCCAAGCTTTGGACTGTCCTTTCCCCTTGAAGGACCCACCAGGCCGTATCTGCAGAGAGATCCTTTGGGGGGCCAGCTGAGTGATGTTTTCGTGCTGGGGGTTCTCGCTGAGGGGCCTGTCCTCCAGGATATGCTGCTTCCCACAGGGGTCCATCACCTCACTGGGGAGGCAACCACGACGCTTCAGCTCCAGCCGAGTTGCACAGCGGCCTGCGTCTGACTCATCTGCTGGCACAAAATCCTGGGGAAAAAGAGAAGGGAGCGGGTTGCAGCCAGTGTTCCTTCTAAGCTGAGTTAGTGTGAGCTAGCTCACAGTTTTTTAGCCTCCGGCTCACACATTTTTGTCTCAGCTCAGGAAGGACAGCTCCAGAGCAAACTAACTTATGCAGTAGCCAAATCGCTCGCTCACAACTTCAAGGCCAGTAGCTCACAAAGTAGAATTTTTGCTCACACGATTCCACAGCTTAGTGGGAGCATTGGTTGCAGCACTGCTTCAGGGTACCCACACCTTCTTTGGGTGGTCCTGTAAAGTGGGCTGACCAGTGTCCTCATTGTTTGCAGAGGCTAAGAAGGAAACATAACACATGGAACCGGGGCACAGGAAGCCATTTGTCTGTAATCTGCTTGAACAGAGAGCAACCCTGATGCTCCCAAGGATCACAGTTGGTCTATCTGATAAAGAATTCAACATCCTGAAATCACTAGCTTTTGTCTTTTTTTTTTTTGGCTCAAGTGGTTAAGACGCTGAACTGCAGACTGGAAGGTCGGTAGTTCAGCAGTTCGAGACCCGAGTGACGCATGATGGAGTGAGCTCCCGTCTCTGGTCCCAGCTCCTGCCAACCTAGCAGTTTGAAAGCAAGAAATTACAAGTAGATAAATAGGCACCACTTCGGTGGGAAGGGAACAGCATTCCATGCACCTCGACATCTAGTCATGCCGGCCACATGACCATGGAAACGTCTTTGGACAGCACTGGCTCTTCAGCTTGGAAATGGAGATGAGCACCACATCCCTAGAGTTGGATTCAACTGGCTTTCGAGCAAGGGAAACCTTTACCTTTACCTATGGTTTTAGAGAGAAATCTCAGAGAGAGGCTTGGGAAAAAATTAATAGGACAAATTCCAGTGTACTGCCTAGCTCATGGGTCCTGAAGCTTTTTGAGCCTGCGGGCGACTTTGGAATTCTGACACAGGTTAGTGGGCACAGCCACAAAATGGCTGCCATAAAGAGACTGCTGCAGGAGGTGGAGCCAGCCACAAAAAAAGCTGCCATAGCTTACCTTCAGTCACACAGTGAAGATCCTTCTGCTGTGGTGGCAGCTTTTGCCAAAGCAACGTTTTTAAAATCTACACAGCGAATCAACTCTACAGTGGCCAATCAGAAGCCTTATTGGGCAAAAGCTCCACCAAGCCCCACCCACTTTCTAAAAATCACAGTTTAATCTAACTATGTTCGGTGTGTTTGTCTGAATACAGGTCACTTCACTAACTAGAGTTCATTGAACCAGGATCTGAAGCTGGTTAGTCTTAAGGTTTAACAAGATGTCTGAAAGTAGACGTCTTGGTGTGTGTTCCTTGGTAGTGCTTTTTCAGGTAACACAGAGAGAGAGAAATGGAACCACTGTTTGTTGAGGCAAACCAGGATTTGAATGACTGTATGTGAGTCGAATCTGGATTTCACAAGCTAACCACAGTGAAAACCATGGTTTTGCATCATGTCTGAACTGAGCCAGCAGTTCAGGAGTTCAGTCCAGACAGCACGTGAAGCCATTGCTTAATTAAGCTGTGGTGAGAGTGATCATCTTAATGCAGGCTGCTCCACTAACTATGGTTAGCTAGGGTCCATCAAACCAGCACCTGAAAGCACATAAAAAACCATATAAAAAAGCCCAGCAGATCTCTTTGTACGGAGAAAATGCAAGGAACGCCCACTTAACACGTTTATTTCTCGTGTGCCACTGGACAAACTCCTTGCTTTCCACACAACAGCCGGCATTGTTTTAAGGCTCTCCTCTCCACCCCACAATTGTCAATACAAACCCAGCCTCTTCGTATCAGTTGAACTACAGTGGTTTCCTGTGTATAGGTGAAAAACCGCAGCTCCAGCCACATTTGGCTAACGTATGCCCACGGTTGTGTTTCCTCATTCCCCTCCCCCAAATCTACCATTCCCTGTTCCTCGGGGAGCCGAGATCAACGCTTTCCCCAGAAGACAGAAAGTGCTAAGTACATTAAAGAGCACAGGTTGTTAAAAGATATGAACATCCAATTATCTGTTGGTTTTTCTGCCTCTCTTCAATGGCCCAAACTGGAAAAGTACTTATGTTTTTTTTAGCACATATGGGTTGATACAAGAGTGTGTTCTAGTAGATTTTATAAACATTTGTTCCCAAGGGATGACTTTGATCGGTTTAATTTGTTAAACTGTGCATATCTTCTCATTTAAAGCTGGGAATATAACAAATATTTAAAAGGGAAAACTGAGAGCTGACTCCAAGCAAGAACTTTGTATACTGGCTGCCAATGTTCCCTCTAAGCTGTGGAGTCTTGTGAGCAAAAATCCTACTTTGTGAGCGACTGGCATGAACGTTGTGAGCTAGCGATTTGGCTACTGCATAAATTAGTTTGCTCTGGAGCCTTCCTTCCTGAGCTAAGACAAAAATGTGTGAGCCGGAGGCTTAAAAACTGTGAGCTGGCTCACACTAACTCATCTTAGAGGGAACACTGCATGGCCGCTACCATTATATGAACACTAACAACAATTACCAGCACTTTACTATGATTTTAAGATTTGTTTGAATTGTAATTATGTTTTTAATGTAACTATCTGCTTTTATGGAAGCCGTCCGTGAGCCGGCTCCGGCCAGGAGGGTGGGGTAAAAAATCTGAAAAATAAATAAACAAAACAATGGGCTAGTGAGCACAGAAGATGTTCACTGCAATCCAAAGCAGTGATTCCCAACCTGGTTGTTTCAGGAAGGAAGAGCAGGCTCCCTGGTGCCCACCAATGTTCCCTGGTGCCCACTTCCTTCTTCCCTAGGGCCACCAGCTCTGGGCTGGGAAATATCTGGAGATTCTGGGGGTGGATCCTGAGGAGGGAGGGGTTTGGGGAGGGGAGGGACTTCAGCAGGGTACAATGCCATAGAGTCCACCTTCCAAAGTGGCCATTTTCTCCAGGGGGAACTGATCTCTGTTGCCTGGAGATCAGTTGCAATCCCAGGAGATCCTCAGCCACCACCTGGAGGTTGGCAACCTTATTCTTCTCCCATATACCTCTTCCCCAAAGCAAAGAGACAAACCTGGTTTTCTTCCAACTGCCTGGAGCGAGAGGTGTTTCAGGAGAAGCTAGGAATATTCACCTTTATGTCTGTAGGGAGCACCCATTCAGAAACAGCTGCACCTATCAGAGGAGGATCCTTTGCTTTAAACCTCTATTATTTTCTAAACCCCCCACAAGGCAGCCATTCTTTCTCAGAATTCCAAAAGGGCCCACAGGCTCAACAAATGTGAGGACCCCTAAGCTAAGGGATGGCTTCTAAGCCAGGGGATGGCTTCTTTGATGAAGACTCGCAAACACGCAAAAACAAACATTTTCAAAACTTGCTCGTGTTCCTAATCCTTAAGGCTCTGAAGCTAGGCTTGAAAGGATGTGGACAGTGCATGGTGAAATATCAGCAAATGAAGGGGGACCACTAAATAAATACTCTAGTGGGCAAGGGTCAGAGCTTCAGCACCTGTTGTCAGACCCCATGAGTAGTAGTAGAATATATTGTGCAGTAATAATGGCTCTCATCGTTCAGTTCTTCACTTGTCAAATGGCAATAAACACTTGTGAAGATGAATGAAAGAAGGAAACAATTCTATCTTTAGCTTAGACTAGAGACAGAGCAGGCTGCAAACCTACTTCACAAAGAGTCACAAAGTACATCCAAAATAAAGAATTCTTCTCATGTTATAGTGGAAGACACTTCAGCATCACTTCTTCCTTCTGCATTGGGATAATCTTATGTGTACCCTGCTTATTCTCCCTTCCACAATTTTATCTCACAACAACAACCCTGTGGTTGTTGAGAGAGACTGACTACCCCAAGGTCACCCAGTGAGCACCCATAGGGATTTGAACCCAGATCTCTGAAATCCTAGATCAAAGTGAGAAGCCCTGGTGCACATGGAAGGAACGGCTACAGCTCTACCACATACCAGGAACCACTACAGCTCTTCCACATACTACATACCTCTCCAGAAACTCGGGCAATGCTTTTGTAGGGAGGAGCCAAAGTATCTGTTCCTTCTACAATGTAGTACTTGCCCAACATAGGAATAAGCTGAGCTGTAGCAACTCTCACGCTGCAAAAGTAACAGCAGAAGAAAGCCCATGACGGTAGAATTGTGAAATCTACCACTTCAGAGTGCAGATGGGCGTTTACATTTATGCATGAGCCCCAATGTTTCTTTGTTTTTTACACTCCTTGCATGTAGAAAACTAACCTGTTGGTGATGGAAGTTCAGCCCGCTACTTTGCTACGTGCAAAGTGGATTGTTTTAATGAGGTGGAGCATTCATAAATGTGAAAACCTGCCTGCATTCTATCACTTCATTCTACAAAGTTACAGCAGCTCTCAACCTTTTGGGATTTACAGACACCTTTGGAATACTGGCACAGGGTGGTGGGCGCAACCACAAAATGGCTGCTGAAGCATTTAACAGTTTAACGAGGCCTTTTTTACTGACTGTACTTCAAAATTTGAACTGCGGCCCTGAATTCTGGAACTGGATGCAAGGTATATATTCAAACCAACAAGCAATGATTTTAATAAACAGGAAATTAACAGATACAATCTCAATAGAAAAAGGAACACACCAGAGATGTCCTTTGTCACCTCTACTATTTATCCTAGCATTAGTGTCTTTAGCTACAAGGACCAGACAAGATACAAGGATTAAAGGAATAAAAGTGGGCGATGCAGAATTTAAAATGAAAAGCTAAGAAAAGCTATGCAGATCATGTTGTTCTGACAGTCATGGATCCCCCAAAATCACTACAGTATGTAATGGAACATATAGAAGAATTTGGATCATTTTCAGGACACAAAATCAATAGAAAAAAGACAAAAATGATAGTGAAATTTTTAATGCAACAGGAAGAGGACATTATAAGGAGTACAGAACACACAGTAACCAATGACCCCATCAGATATTTGAGAATAAATGTGACTGGGCAAAATTGTAATGTTTTCAAAAA